CAATCCTACTCCTGCCCACACACACCTGCTGCTGCCCCACTTTCCTGGTGTGTGGATCATGTGCTGGTGAAAGAGCAGCTCCACTTGGTAAATCTCTAAATGCTTAGTGAGGGCTGTGCATGGAGAGCAGAGCTCTCTGGCCAGTGGTGAAGGGGGCTGCTGAGCTTAGAAAGACACAGGTTCATCAGGAGCTGTCAACACGGATCAACTGGAAATACCCGAGCCCTGGGCAACTCAGGTGAGCTGTAGGAGACCAAGGTTCAAATCTCTGCTTTATCTCAAGGGGCTTGGACCCACTGTTTCAAGATTCAAGGAGTTGTCTGAGGACTGGGCTTTGGCTGATATCTTGCCCTGGGTTGGGTTTTCTTCCAATAGCTGAGTTGTTCCCAGGGGATGTTTTATTGAAAATGCCATGTTTCCACAGGAAGTTTTTGTTCTGATGAATCACAGCCTTTCCAGTTACAACAACAAAGCAGGTTTTCCTGCTCTGAACATTTTATCTTCCCTGAGAGAGAGAGATTTCTTTCCCCACAGTCTTTCCCCCGCTCCTTGGTTTGGTTTTGCACACAGGGAAGAAGGGGAATTCTCTCTCTCCTCCATTACACAGCAGACATCAAGCCGTTTTTACCCTCTAGAAACACCTTCAACTGAAAAATTGGGCCACCTCTTCCCTAAAGAAATACATTTTTTTTAGAGATAGTGGCAAAAATTTGCCTGTTCAAGAAAACTGCTGTCATCTATATGCCAGCTCAACCAGAGAAGCTGTGGATGTCCCACCCCTGGAAGCGCTCACGGCCAGGTTGGACAGAGCTTGGAGCAACTGGTCAAGTGGAAGGTATCCCTGCCCATGGTGGGCGGGGGGGAGGAGGTTGGAACAAGATGATCTTTAAGGATCCTTCCAACACAAACCACTCTGACGGGACGACAGTCACTCTGCAGCCCTCCTGGCTCTGTCCTCCCCCTCTCTCTGCCACCGACGTTACCTTTGGCAATTTTGATGTCCAAGGCCGTGCGTATCAGCGCCATCAAGGTGGAGGTGAAATGGACTGTCATGTCCTCAGCCACGGGCATGTTCATCAGTACCAGTCTCTGCGCAAGAGAGAGAAAAAAACAGCGGACGGAAAACAATATCGAAAAACACATCGACCAGGCTGGAGGAAAAGAAATTAAACATTAAACAAAAGGGAAAAAAAAATAAAAATTAAAAAAAAAAAATAAAAAATAAAAAGCAACAAAGAGTGTCAAAACAGCACAGCCAAAAAAGAAGGGAAAGGATCACCCCGCCAACCCCACTCACCCACCCCCTCCCCCAATGGCTCCTTCCACCCCAGGACACCGGCTCACTGCCTTCCAGGGCTCCTCCTGCACCCTAGGAACGGCCCCTGAGCTCCCCTCCCCATGGCACCGGGGCTGCCACAGCACCTTCTGGCACTTTTGGGAAGACACACCTGATCCATCAGGGATGCAGGCATGTGGGATGTGTGGGAAGGGGAGAGGGGGCTCAGGTTTCCATTCCCAGGTGGTTTGGCTTTCCAGCTCTCAACCCTTCCCACCTGGGGCAGGGGAGAGGAGGGTCCCTAACCTTCAGGGACTTCAGATCAGCTGGATTCCTCTAGCATGCTACACATCCTGGCGCTCCCTTTTTGCGTCTTTCAGAGATGAAGTTTGCCAGCACATGCAGGGGATCCAAATTATCCAGGGGTGGGGAAGGGAAGGGAAGGAAGGGTAGAAACAGTGCAGAAGGAAAGAGAAAAGGGCAACCAAGGCAGGTTAGACACGCCATGCTCCTTCCCCACCCTGGGCAGGCGGGGTGCAAACCGAAGTGACCAGATCCACTTTCCCGAGAGTATATTTTGCTTTGTGAATACCTTGGGTCATCCCTTCCCTGCCCATTTCTTTTTCACCCAGATCCTCATGTCCTTTTCCTGTCTTCAAGCCCCCATTTTTCTCCTGGAAAAGCGTGATGACGGATGTATGCTTGTGTGAACAAACAAGTGAGAGCTGGAGAGGGTGGAAGCGTGTCTGGAATTGGGCAGGAATCCCCTTGCACTAGCCCTGCTGCTGAAAGGGCTGTGGGCAGCAGCCCATGGCAAATTAAAGCTTCCACTGGCTCCACACCTGGACAACAAATCATCCCATAGCTCTGGGTCTTGTCCTGGCAGCTAATGCCCTCAGCCAAGCCATGTAGCTCCCACCCCACGTCCTTCATGGCTTCCCGTGCTCCTGCTCCATGCCTGCACAGCTGGGAACACGCTGTGCCGGTTCCAGGAGCTGTTTGAGAGCCACCACCCCAGGCAGGGAAACTCAGAGGCACCTTTGGAAGGCACCTGGCTTTGCCTTGCACAAGCCATCCTTGGGACACAGCCCATGCCAGTGCACCTGGCTCCTTGCACACAGCAACGCTGCTTCTGTGGGATTTGTCCTTGCTGCCCACCTGCTTCCCATCTCCATGGGCTTCTGTGCTGGCTGGAATGAGGGTGGTTCCAAGCCCTGAGGATGAGCTCAGTTCAGCGAGCTCCTAAGGACACCTCACTCTCCTGACTGTACTACCAGTGCTGCTCCTCACCTCCTCTCCTGCAACCCTCCCACTTCCACACTATTGCTGATCCTCTTCCACTGGGGTCTTCCATCCCGGGGCTCTGAGTGACCATGGCAGTGTCACATGCGTGGGCAGTGGAGACCAGCCAACGTGGCCAGGGCTCTTCTGAGCCCAGCAGGCTCCCCAGGGGCAAGCTAAACACATGTTGGACACCCCAGCACCTCCCCGGCTCCCCCAGTCCCACCTCCCGCACGTCCCTTGAGCCCCAGGTCCTACTCAGCTCTGACCCCCATAGAAGGAAGGGTTGATCTACCTTATAGGCCACTTTGGAAGGACATCTCTTGCCGAGGCCTAGCGGTGGTGACATAAGAGTCAGCATTTCATACATCTCAGTGTAATGGATTCGGCCACTGCTCATGGAGGGGGAAGGGGAGGGAGGGAGATGCAGAGAGAGAGAGAGAGAGAGAGGAGGCATTCCCAGAGAGCAGAAAAACGTACAAACGAAAAATAGTACAGGAAAACAGGAGAGAAAAAAAAAAAAAAAAACAAACGGACAAACAGGAAAAGAACAGGAAACCCGTTAATCAAGGCAAATCATACATGAGAGACTGTCCTGATGTGGATTTATAGCACTGCTCACACAGACCCAGGAATGCTGGCAGAAAGCAACTCACCCCTCTCCTCTCTGCTGCTCAAGTGCCTGTCTCGCTACCATCCTGGGGCTCCTCCTCTGGCCTCAAACCCTTTCCTAAAGCCCGCCAGCAGCCCCCACCTCGTCCCACAGGTTCCAGGGCTGTGTGCGAGTGGTATAAATCAGATACACGGCACTCGAGCCATGGGTTATTTGAGGTCTCGGTGGTTTGCACCGCAGTGCTCTGTGGCCTCCGTAGCGTCTTCCCTCCCGGGGGGTGGGGGGCCTGGGTATTGCTTTGCGTGGCCACCTAACCCATAGCCAGAAGGCTGTGTATCCCCAGCTCGTGGGGTCTATGCAATTGGGAGGCAGCATCTTGCATAGAAGGCAGTGGGCCAGGGTCACTTGTCAAAGGAAGATGCCCAGTTGCTTCCATCTGGCTCTGCGGATGGACCACTTTCCCACCATGCACCAGTGCAAAAAGGCATGCTGAAATTGGCTGAAAAAAAACAAAACCGGGAGGAAAAGTTGTACATGCCATGCTCCCGCCCTGGCTCTCTCCCACATGCGGCTGCAAGTTCCACCAGGTTGGAGTTTAAAGAGTCTCAGCAGAGGCAGCTGTTTGGGCCTTCCAACATTGGGGTTCATTTGGATATATTTCCCAAGGGAGGCAGTTATGGCAGGCCCCCACCTCGCACTCCTCTGTTCCATGAGGACCTGCCTAGGATTGCTGCAGTGAGGAATGTTACTAACAACAGGCCACCTGGTGATGCCTTGAGCCCTCTGCCAGGCTGAGATATTTGGGCTGTGTCTCCCTCTCTGCACATCCACATTTCCCAGGGATCCTGGGGTTGGCCACCTCTTCTTCCCCTCGTGCCAGGCTTCCATCCTGCACTGCGAAGTTCAGGATGGTTAATGGGCAAGGGCAACCTCACAATGGCAAAGGCATCAACCCTTACAGCTGGGCTGGGAGGATGCTGCTGGAGAGGAACCCATCTCAGCTGGGGTGGCCTGGGAGAGAGGGCACTGCTAAAAAATTAAGAACCTCCACAGGATCTCCGCTTCTTCCCTAGAATGTGTTCAGAGCAGTGTGGAAGAGGGAGAAGATATCTCCTGTTCTCAGGAAGTACCTGTGGTCTGGAAGCAGACTCCTGGCCAAAGAGGCCCCACCAAGGTAAGTTCTGACAGTTCAAATGTGAACCAGAGATGGTGATGTCCCTCAGCAGGAGATGTTTGGGGTACAGGCATAGAACAGACTGGACCATCCCCTTTGAGACCTAACATACCTAAGTGGGTGGAAAACAGGATTGATAACAACACTGCAGAACATTAACTGGGATGATCAAGAGGAAATATCCAGATCCAGCAGTCTGTAAGCAGCGCCTTGGCAGAGCTGGATATGCTCACTGACTCAAGGTGTCTGAAGATGAGATGACTTGGAAATTTTCATGCATTAATTTAGTGCTAAAAGGAAGCAAGACAGCGATCTTCCACCCACCCTTCCTGTAGGGGGGATTTTAGGGTACCCTGCACACAACAGGCACTGTCTCTCATACTGAGATTCTCTGCACAATGAAGGAGGAATGGATTCCTGTGACAGGAGGAGTTTTGCATCAGTGACCAAGGACTGCACTAGAATTGTGCTTTGCTGCTCCTCAAAGCAGAGAACTTAAAGCTTTCTTAGCAGCACAGTTGTGCCCAGAAACTACCTCCCCATGCAGTAAAGCACTGGCAGGCATATGGAATGACATCTATCTGAAGAGGAAGGCTCCAGAGAGCTGGTCCAAGCACAAAAACATCCTTGATGCGAGAGCTGACCCATCTACCCATGTCTGGACAGAGATGCGCTCACATGGCTTCAGCACAAGGTGGCCTGTAAAACCAGCAGAGATGAATGGCTTAGTCCTGGTCATCAGAGAACCTTGTGAATGATAGAGAAGGAAATATGGGCAACAACCCTCCTCCTGTGGTTAGGAAATAAGTACTGTGCCATAGCAGGCTGTTACGAATAGCAAGCGATGTTAGAGTAGATTCAGGAATAGGTGATGTCCACAGGGACATCATCTGTGGAGCACTCTCCCAGCAGGCAGGGCAGGCTCACTGAACTGAAAGGAGTCCAAGTTGGGTTGGCATTTTGGGATCTGACAAGATGCAACAACCACGAGGGTTTTCTTTCATAAGTTGTCTTTTGGGAATTGTTTCAGGGCAGTCAGAATCCCTGAAAAGCTCTTGGGTCCCTGAAATACCTCATGCACAGGGAGAAGGAGACCAAGGTAACACAAGGAAGAGATGGGGATGGTCTCCCTCACGTGATGACAGAAGCTGAGTTTATCATGAGTTTATCCACCTGCACTGCTCTGCCCATCCACAGTCAGCAGAAATCCCAGATTGCTCCAGAGCTCCCTTTTCCTAGGAAGCACTATAGGTACCCCTCCAAGCACCAGGTGATCCAGCCAGTGGAGCTCTGTTGATAATGAGAAAGACTAACAACTCCTCTCAAAGGTGTCTTCTGTCTGCAGGGACCTGGGCAAATGTCCTCAGCAAAGGTGCCACATCCTTTGCCAGGGATGCAACACAGAAGAGTGGAAAGACTTCAGGGAGCTCTTCCTGGAGCAGATGAGCCGTCTGAGATTCTTGCAAGAAATTTCCTGTCCCTAAATATCTCTTTCTAATGACTGAGCATCCAGGCCTTGTCTTGCTTGCTCTTTTTTGACCTCTGGTGGTGCATCATCCCCATATCCAGATGTGGAGGGTGACAGGCCCGTTGTTCCAGGGATGCTGAGTGAAAGAAGCCTCTCTGATGTTTCAAGAAGGATGCGGTAACACCACTATGCTGCACCAAGGAATCCTCTTCTTCTGCAGAGCCAAGATCAAAGGCCAGAGGCATCTGAGCTTCCCCTGCACACCTCAGATGCTATGAGGGATGCAGAAGGAAGAGCAAGTTCTGCGATTCATTCTCTCATGCCATGGCATAGGTCACGGCACTTCAGGGTAAGTGGCAGGTGCACGATTTTTCTCAGCTGTCATCCCAAAATAAAATTTAAAAAAAAAAAAAGAAAAGGTGCAAGTCAGTGAGACACAAGGAGACCAAATCACTGCTGTGGACTCGTGGCCAGCAGCTGAGAGCTTGGCTCAAGATAAGGGAGAGGAGCTGTTGAGCTCCAGAGACGTGCCCTGGAATCACCACCTCCCAGACAGATCCAGCAGCCCGTGGGCAAGACTAGCAAAAGTTCTGCTCCCCAGAAAGACGGTTGGTTGTCCTCCAAAGTGCCACACTTGAGAAAGGGTCTGTTGGGTACAGCACAGCATCCCCCGGGGAGAGACGTGTCACCCTGGCCTCCCCACCCTCCCCCCAGCCCTCACTCTCCAAAACAACAGAGAAGTCCCAAACATCCTCCAGCCTTTCCTCCCCCCCATTCCCTCCCCAGGAGCAAACCACATCTAAGCCCCGCAAAAAAAAATCCTTGTCCCATGTGAGGTATTTTGAGAAGCCAAGCAGGGATGGTGGCACTTGGCCTGGCACCCTTCGGGGCTCCCTGCACCAGTGGAACTGGGGTGGGGGGCTGGCTGGGGGATGCAATTTGTCAAAACCCACCCCAGGAGGCTCTAAGCCCCCTGGCCCCGCTCATGCCTCCCCTCGAGGGGAACAGCTGCTGGCTCTGGGAGGCAGTGGACCTCTTTAAACTCGAAGGAAAGCAACATCAGGGTTCCCTGGGGAGGCGCGGTGGCGGTGGAGCGGGGGGGGAAGGAGGGGTGGATGGTGCGTCCCGTGGCCAAGTTGTGGCGGAGGACTGGGAGGCAAACCTTGCACGCCACCCTGTAGGGGCAGTTCTCTCCTAGGCCCAGAGGAGGCGAGATCACCCGTACTAATTTGTACATATCCTTATACGAGATCCTGCCGCTGCAAAGGAAGCACAGGTGGGTTAATAGGACACTGAGAGGGAGGAGGGGAGGATGGAGGGCTTAACCAGGGGATGCTGGGGGCCATCTGTGGGGCAAGACCCCCAGGAGCGCACAGCTCTTCTCCTTCTGGCTCTGTCAGACCCAGAGAGGGGAAAACTGAGCATCAGCTACTGTCTTCTCCACCATGGGAATCAGCTCATATCTCCTCAAACTGTCCCATCTTCACCCTGGAGAAGGACAGTTCTAGTGGTGAACCACCACTCCATTACCCTTCCTCATCGTGCCCCTGACCCCTATGCCTGGTGGGAGAGGGCTGGGACTTTAGACAGGATGAGCCTGCAGCTTGGTTGGGTTCTTGCCACCACAAGCCCTTCCGATGGGGTTGTGTCCCATCGCATCAGCAGAGACCCTGCTCTCACACAGCCAACTCTCTGGGCCTCATAAGGTCCCAGGGAAGTTGGCAGCTGAGCCACTTGACTCCAATCCCTGGGGAATCTGAGATGGGGAGAGATAATGTGACCAGCTGGTGGCTGTGGCACTAGCATCTCGGTCTCTCACGGTCCAGTCCTGTGCTTCGACCACCAGACTGCGCTCTGCCAAGGGTACACATTATTAGAAGCAAACTTTCCCCTGCACACACCCTTTCTTGCCCACAGAAGCACATCTCCCCAGACCCGGTGCAGTCGTCGCAGGATTCGGCCTGTATCCTCCTGCACCGCTGAAATATTGAAGCAGCTGTGGCAGGGAGCTGGCAGGAGAGGGTGCAGGGGCTATTCGATGCTGAGCCTCCCACTCTACTCCAGACCAGAGCCCTTTGGGAAGCAGGACCCTGTGGGGTGGAAGTGCTGAGGTGCAGCGTGCTGCAGCCTCCCGGGCATCCTTGGACAAGCTTGGAGAGAAACCCCGCGGGGAGGCAAAGAACAGCATTACTGCCCTACCCAGTGCCTTTGCCTCTGGTTTTCTCCTTGCTCGTCTCCCATCCCCTCTCCATCGCTGGCCAGAGATGGAGAACCCAACCAGAACCCAACCATCTGGGCAAAGTCCACCCCTGTGCCCCCCTGGGGTTGGGTGTTCTCCCCATGAGACCTTTGTGGGATGGTCCCAGTGTCAGGAAGCAGAACTGCTGCCCCACTCAGGCACTGGGACCCATGTGGATATACTCACCTGTTCCTCACTCAGCACTGGGGGCCAGGGCTGCCTTGGCAGGCCCTGCACCACCAGCTCCTGTGCACATCCCCTAACCACTGGCTACATATTATGGCAAAAGAGCACAGCTTGCTCAGATATCAGAGGGGCACATGGCCCAGACAGAACAGCCCAGACATGCTTTTATTGTGACTGTCCTGGAGAATGAGGCCACCAACATGGGGGGCAAGAGTGAATGAAGTGCCTGGTATGAAGAAACTCTTCCCCAGAGTTATAAGTGAGATGCCCCGCCCCGAGCACCTGCGTGTTTCACTGCTCTCACCTCCTCTCCTTTCTCTAGTCAGAGCTGATATTAGGCATAAAAAAAATATCTTGGCTGTGGCTGGTCTTTTGAGGGGCAGGACATTAACGGTGGAGGCAAAGAGTCTCCAAAGAGAGCGCATGTGGTTGCCAAGGGCTCTCGACCTAAGATCACCCACACTCTGCAGCAGCAGTAGTAGGTCGTGGCTCCAAAGAGACTGTCCCCGGGCTGAGGGAGGGAGGAAGGGGCCACACAAGGCACCCTTGTGGTTTTGCAGCTGAGGGAAGGGCAAACACGGTCCCAGACCTGCCAAGGGCTCACCATTCCACTAGGGATGCTTGAGACCCCCCTAGGAGGAGAAGGAGTGGACAGCAAGTCCCCTGCAGTAACAGCAGCAAGAGCAGAGACAAAGTCTGGCCATTCACAGTAAGTACAGCCCCTGTGAGCCCATCCCATTACTGGAAACAGGCTGCTGCCTGCAAACAAGAGCCCTGTTCGCCGGGGTCCTCATCAGCAAGGGCAGGAATGCAGGAAACACAGTCCTCCCATCTCCAGAGGGCTGCATGGGCTGGCCAGCATGGGAACACAGTTCCCCAAACAAGGTCCTCTGTAGGTGGGCTTGGCAGGAGCTCAGCAGACCCCCAGCATCTCCCCATGGCTGTGAACAATCCCCACTCAGCCCTGCTCTGACAGGGGAGCTGTGGGTGCTGGGGACCAAGGGACAGAGCCATTCTCAGGGCAGAGGCACCCAGCTGGTACACAGGGACAGGAAAGGAGGCTGAGAGGGATCTGCCCACTGGGCAGGGAGGAGAGGAAGAACAGGAAGCTCCAGCTCTCAGGACAAACACCACGGCAAACCACAAACATCACCCAAGACACCTGTGCCACCAGCCACTGTAGGAACCAGCTTCTGCCCTTGTAACATCTGTGGGTGACAGCAGACCATCCCTGACCATCCTAGGCATCACTGATGGTTCCAGTAGTAGAACAGAGAGACGCTCATTTAAAACCAGCTCTGAGAGGTTGCTCAGGAGAGAAGAAGCTGGCTACATACCACGCTGCTCTGTCATACTCTGCCCAGATCCGGACAAACTCATCTAGATGGTGAGGTCCCAGGATGGAGGAATCCCTTGTCAGGTACTCAAAATTGTCCATGATGACTGCCACAAACAGGTTGAGCATCTAAATGAAAGGGAAAAAGGAACAGAGAAAGGAAAGTGGGGGGAGAGGAAGCAAAGATGGGAAGAGAGAGAGAGGGAAGAGTGATTGTTGGAAGACGATGGAAATGACCCTATGGCTGGGGTGCTGATGAGGGAGATCCCCAGGGCTCCTGGGGGGAGTAACTAACCAGGAAGGAGCAGAAGAAGATGAAGGAGACAAAGTAAACGTAGGCCAGGTCGGTTCCACAGCGCTCGTTCTCGTTCTGCCCAGATGTTGCCGTCGTGTCCGGCTCGCAGCCTTTGCCCTCCAGGCAGGACAGCATGATCTCCTGCCAGGCCTCTCCTGTGGCACTCCTGTGTCCAACACAGCCATTCTCAGCAGCTCAAGGTGGCACAGGATGGAGCCGGGGCAGGATGCCCCTGGGAGAAACCTCACAACCCCCCGCCCAAATTAGACACCTCTGGCACACGGAGGAGCATTTCCCACGGTTGCTTACCTGAAGAGGAGCATAAGGGAGCCCAGGAAGCTGCGGAAGTTGTTGTGTCGGTTGATGTGGCTTTCCTCATCCAGTTTGATATTGCCAAAAACCTACAGGAGGGAGGAAAACAGCTCAGCTCTTCAGGCAAGAACTCTTCTGCCAGGGAAGCAGCTTCACGTTTACATCCCCATCCCTGAAAACATCCAAGACCAAGTTGGATAGGGCTCTAATCTAGTTGAAGATGTCATTGCCGTGGGGTTGCACAAGATGACCTTTAAAGCCCCACCCAACCCAAACCATTCTAAGACTGATTCTACAAAAAGTACCCCAGCAAACACAGGCTGGTGCGCAGCCAGCACGCCAAGGAGCTGGCGCCAAGCAGCCACTGGGGAAGGACTCTTCTCTCCTTGGCAGGGATTTACAGTGGGTGGCAAAGGCTGCAAGAGGCTGAGCTACCATGGAAACAGGAGCACAGAGGACCTGGGATCAACTGAGTCCAATTGCTCCACATCTGCCCCGCTGCTGCACTACAAGTGGCCCCTGAGCACTGCACAGAACCTGGTGCTTCTAAATGCACTGGAGGTGCAGGGATGCTGCAGGCAGGTGCTGGGTCATGGTCCTGGAAACTCCCAGGAGCTTTTCCCTCGGTGGACAAATGATCTGTGACAGTGGGGTCAGGCACAGCAGTGCAAACAAGGCAGGGAAGGGCTCAGGGAGGGTGGGACAGACAGACTGCTAAGCCACCACAGACACCCAGACACTTGGCACTACCATCCCCAGGGCCAAGAGAGGCAACGAAACCACAAACATGGACAATATTCTAATAATGACCCACGGCCAAGGCCATGGAAAGACATAACGAGCATCCGTAAAGTGCCCCGAACAGGAAAAATGTGCTGTTATTACTGTTAAATATTTATTCCCCTTTCCCTGAACCTAAAAATACACTAGCTGCAGAGTATTTTTTCCCTGTACAGGTTTTTTGGAATGTGTAATTGTAGAATATTTTCTGCCTCCAGCTATTTTGCTCAAATAACGCCCACAGACTTTACTGCTTGGGGGATTTGTTCACAATGGTGTTAAGAAAAAAAAAAAAATCAAATACTACCACATGGCAGGGGGGTGGAGGGAGGCTGAGTCAGATGGTGGCTCTTTAGCACGGAGAACACCTGGAACTGGTGCCGAGATGTGTAGGACAGAGCAGCAAAAACGAGCCACGGGACTCTCAGGGCGGGAGAGAGGGGGTGGAAGATCCTAAACACCGGCACTGCCAAGCAACACAAGCTGGGCCCCTCCCCTACACATCAAAAAAAAAAAAAATCTGCCCATCCTGGCAGCGCATGTCAGGCATTAGGTACTGCAGCAGCTCATCAGGCAGCTCCACAACCCAAGTGTTCGTCATCAAAGGTTCTCTGTCAGACCTTCAGTGTGGGATTCAGTCACTGCAGAAGTGAGGCAGCCCCGTGGCATGTGCGGAGCTGAGCGTTTTAGCTCACGTGCTTCTTATTTACCAGCTGGAGCCAGGAAAGCTAATGTCTCCCCGTGCTCTGCAGACCTCCCACCGGCTGGTGGGTCATCACAGGGCTCTAGGCAGGAGTGCCCAAGCAGCGGCACAACTACAACACAAACCCTTTGCAGAGGGATGAGGTGGACAAGAGGGCTGCAGGAATCACTGCTGTGATCCAGCCATTCCAATGGGAAAGACAGAAGGCTGCTCACCGAGTCCTTCAGGCATGAAATCAGTCCCTGGGGGGCTGTCTGTCTAGTCAGAGATTCAGTAGTTGCTAAACAAAGAGGTGGGGATTTGCCAGCAGCCACTACACAGGGTGCCCAACTGAGTCCGCAAGGCCACATCTCCAAAGGTCCAAGCTGGTAAGGCAGCTGTAGAGCAAGACTGAACGAGCCCATGGCAGTTTCCCCAGGGCATGTGGCTCTGCAGCTCCCAAAAAGGTTCCACCCTCGGGACCTTCTCAGACACCAAGTGAGGCAATGACAGGCAGGCGCAAAGCTTGCTCCCGTGTGTCCTCCTGCTGAGGACACGCCGCTGCACGCTGCCCGTGCCAGAGGGATGTCTGTGCTCACCTGCATCCCAATGATGGCGTAGATGAAGAAAAGCATGGCGATCAGGAGGCAGACATAGGGGAGTGCCTGCAAGAGAAGCAGATGAGTCACCCCATTTATCACAGGTCCAGCTCCGGAGGAGTACAAAAAGCACAGTGGGCAGGGTAAGCCGTGCCCATCCATTTCTCCTACGAGCCAACAAGACCTTGGGAATACCCTGCGTTTGGGAGCAACACCACAGGACTGTGGCCTGGGTGGAGATCAGGGCACATGAGGCTTACCTTGAAGGACTGCACAAATGTCCAGAGGAGGATGCGGATGGTGTAACCCTGGCGGAGCAGCTTGATGAGCCGAGCAGCCCGGAAAAGCTTCAGGAAGCTCATGTTGAAACTACTGGTGTTCACCAGCTGGGAGGAGATGACAGGGTCAGAGGGAGGTGGGAACCCCCAGGGCCACGCTACACCCCGCTGCTCCCAGCCCCTGCCTCACCTTGGTGTCTGTCAGGATGATCTCTGTAATGCTCCCAATGACAGTGATGAAGTCAAAGATGTTCCAGGTGTCCCGGAAATAATTCTGCAAAAGGAAGGAAAGAGGAAATGCGGATTTGAGCTCGGGGATGGCGGGTCTGAAAGGCGCTGAGCCACAGGCCAAAGCTGCTCAGGGACAACCACGGAGACCTTGCAGCCCATTTGTATGCAGCCAGGGTCCGGAATACCGTCCTTTGTCTGAGACAGTGGCAGACCTGAGCATGTCTGCAGCAAGCAGCTTCTCCTGGGAGATGATTCATGCATCCAGCAGGCCACCCTGGCAAACGGGAGCAGGAAAAGTAGCCACAGACATTCTAGATCAGGCTATAACAGCTCATAATGCCAGCCCTCACAGCCAGGAAGCTGCTTTGCCCTCCTCTTCATGGGCACCTGGACCCACCTCAGCCCTGCTATTTGTAGAGCAGCTGGTGCAAGACCAAAAGTGGTTGGTGATACTGGGAGCAAGGAGGGTGGCTGGAAACCCTGCTGCTAGTGGACCTCATCTCCCATGGGCAGCAAAGAGTAGGTGGAGGCAAGGCAGTCCAAGGTTCAAACCCTAAGTGAGCAGCTGGGGACTTGAGGACAGTGAATCGGGCAAGAAGGTCTCACTGATTCTCAGGTCTGATCCAAATGATACAGGCCAAGGACAGCAGAGCATCTTCTGACCCTCTGGGGACAAGGGACCACAGCCACCAGCAAATGCAGCAGCAGTTGGCCTAAACAGAGCCATGGCACAGCAGCAGCAGCAGTTGGCCTAAACAGAGCCATGGCACAGCACATACATGGTCCAGGAACCAGAGTATAGCAAAAACAAGGCAAGAAGTAAAGCAGCAGTCTGGCTTCACCCAGCAACATCCAGCAGTGGGAAGCGTAATGAGAACCAAAGGAGTGAATCCACCCTAAAAGCAGCTCTCAGGCCAAGATCCAGAATAAGTAGCAAGAACCTCACATTATTAACACCTTCCCCCTGTGATCTGTGTGTCGCCCAAGTCTGAATTAACACCCTTGTAAAGAACAGGAGTAGCCACTCACCAGGAAGCCGAAAGCGATGATCTTGAGGACGCACTCCAAGGAGAACACCATGGTGAAGGCGATGTTCAGGTACTTCAGGGCCAGCTCATAGGTGTATGGAGCAGAGTAGTACTGATGGAGACAGAGACACATTGCTAGCCAGGAGGGGGCCTGCCAGCCTCTTGGCTGATAGACCTGATATGGTCATGTTTATTGCCCTGGCTGCCTCAAGACTTCCTTCCTTTCTCTACCCAGAACAGATCTGTGGTGGTCCATGTTCCTTGCCCTGGGGTTCTCAAGAACATGTCCTCTTCACTCTCTCTACCCCTCTCCCAGGACAGCTGCCACTCCTTCTAAACAGGAGGCAGATAGTAAATTCAGATCTGTCTCCAGTAGGTAAGAGGTCCAGATAATTTGGGTCATCTCATTTAGAAAAGATATTACCTCCAGTTTGGGGCATGTAGTGTTTCAAGTGACTAAGCCAAGAGAACACATGCTCAGATTCTGCCCCAAAGCATCTCCACGACCAAAACACCCTCCCATCTCATCCTGATTCATCCTCCTTTTCCCCACTGCTCCTCCTAGGACAGGCTCACTCTGAGCAGCTCACCTTCATCATCAGCACCACGGTGTTCAGCGCTATCATGGCCATGATGGTGTACTCGAAGGATGGGGACACCACGAAGTGCCAGACGCGGTACTGGAAGGTGTGTCGGTTCTGGGGCATGTACCGTGTGAGGGGCTTGGCACTGATGGCAAAGTCAATGCAGGCCCTCTGTAATAAAACAACGTGCATCACAACCTGGCTGAGGGAGACATGGGGGACAGTGGCTGCCACATTTCTTTCCTTCACGATGTGAGAAGGCGGGTGGCCCACAGATTTCTTACACCTTTTCCATATCTGAGAAGCTCCAAGTTCCCAAATTGCAAAAAAAAAACCCACGGAAGCATCCTCTTTCCCCCTTACAGACTGTACCTCGTTCTTCTCCAGACTGCACTCCTCCATCATTTTGTCTCCTTGCTCTTGGAACGTGATGATGATGAGAGCCACGAAAATGTTGACGAAGAAGAAAGGGAAGACCACAAAATAGACGACATAAAAAATGGACATCTCCATGCGGTTGCTGCGGCTGGGCCCGCGGTCCTCCTCTGTCACGTCCACCGAATGCTGCAGCACCCTGTGAGCAGACAGGTGAAGAAAAGCAACCAGAGGTATGTCCTTCAGGGCTGCCACCACGTGGCACTTCCAGTGGGACTCACTCTGCACAGCCAGCTCTGTCTGTCCCCCCTTGTGCAATGACAAGGTAAAGCTCTGTCCTAATCTGCTTTCAAGACCTTTTTAAGCAGCTATAGCTTGTTTTTATGGTGTTTTGCCTGTGCCTCTGATGCAAAATGGATTTTCCTGTGGTCTACACACAGAGAATAATACTGTCCAAGCTCACATGAGCATGTAAAGAGGTCTATTCCTGTGGTCATCTCTTAATATTAACCTAAAATGTATCTTAGGGTCATACAGAAGAAAGGATTATCCATCTCCTTAAGGAAGAACCTAACTTCAGCCACGGCCCAAGCCTCACAGCAGGGTTAAAAGCCTGTTTGTCTTGATAAAATTTCTCATTGTTCCTCTCCCCCTTTCTGCCCAGCAGTTCCTCTCTCAGTTCTACCTGGGATCCAGCGGGGATGTGATCAACCCCGTTCGAGGGGACAGACAGAGAAGAATACTCACTGGGGCCAACCCTCGCCGGTGGAGACTGTGAACAGGGTGAGCAAAGCCCAGATGATATTGTCGTAGTGAAACTCATGACGTTTCCACTCTCGACATTTCACCTCCATCTTGTTCTTCTCGTGGTCCACGTAGTTCCCTCTGCAAGGTTGGGAGAGAGCAATGACCTTGTTTTTTTACACTGCCAGACTAAAGGATGGTGGGTGTAAACCCTGGGGCAAGTGTGCGTGTGCAGTGATGGGCACCTCTCCTCCTGCAGGGATGGAGGGAGAAACGGGGAGAAGCTGGATAACAACCATGAGGAAGCAGAGAGGGGGAAGGCAAAATAGATAGAAGAGAGAAGAAGGAAAGAACAGGAGCAAAATAAGGGTCTCTGCATCCCATGGAAGGATGTGCAGTGCTGATACAGCAATGGGGCAGGGCTCAGCTCATGCCATCCACCCTAAGAGATAAAGCCAAGAGCGAGTCATGACTAAGGACTTAAGTGAGAACCACAGCAGACATTACCCAGAGGTGTCAATCAGCATCAACAGGGCACCTACATGCAGTCCTTCTGTGTGTCCTTAGAGCTGTCAGTACAGTAGAAAAACTTCCCCTTGAAGAGCTGGACGGCAATAACAGCAAAGATGAACATGAAGAGCTTGTAGACAATGAGGATGTTGAAGACATTCTTGAGGGATGTCACGACACAGTCAAAGACGGCCTGCAGGGGAAGGCAGAGCTCACCTTGGGGAACCCACAGTCCTGGCAAAGGGCAGGACCAAAACCAGGTTATCCTGCGGAAAGGCATTTCCCACTCCTCGTGGGGAAAGGAGGAAAAGCTGGGCCTTCTCCCAGGCAAAAAGCTATTTTATAAACAGAGGTTAACCCCAGAGTACCCACAGCACACGTGTGGGCACCACGCAGCCCCCAGGGCAGCACCGACCATGGATGTTTGTATCCTCGGTGTTCTCTGCAACCAAGGTAGCAGGCAGTGGACCATCCTAATGATGCAATTAGCAGCACTCAGGACTAATCAGTAAACACTTTGTTGTTTTGCATCACCCCAAATAACAAGGCACAGCAAATACCTCTGCCTGCAGGAGCAGCACCTCCCCCTCAGTGCTCTCAGCCCTAGCACTTTACGTGAGGAATGTCCATATCCCTGTTTCATGGTGGAGACAGGCATTTCCAGAAGTGAACTGACATGGGCTGAATCCATCCACTGATCAGGAAGAAAAGCTGGGGTCAAACCCCATGTTACTGTGTTTCATTTATCAGACAAATAACTACATGTAAATTGAAAACAGGGCTGCCTTGGTCTCTTTGCCCTTTCTGGCTCTATACCCCATCAGCTAAGGCAGGGAAATCCATAATCCTACCTGTGCCAAGGAATAATCCCACTGCTGAAATGGGAAGTATCCCTGCAGTGCAACACCATGGCAGCACAGCACACAGCACCTCAAGTCATTGGCAAGGTGCTCTGGAGAGAAAGATCATGGATCTTTCTGGAAAGAGACTTGAGCTCTCCAAAACCAAGACAATCTACTTTCCAGGACAGCATCTGGGTTTTGCTGCCTTGCACCCACTCGAGCCCCACTGGCAGAGGAACTACCTCTGACACCTTGCAGCAGTCTGGGCTTGCTTTTAATAACTCATTGCATCTCCAGATATGAAGCAGCCTGAAGGGTGCTGTGGTTGAAAACAGGGCTCCTAAAGCGCACCGAAAGCCTTGAGAACAACTTGTTCACTGCCCATGAGCAAATCGATGTTTATGGTCCCTGACCCACCATTCCATGCAGGAGAAGAACACAGGTGGAAGGCAGGAGATGGGGGTCATTACCTTCAGCTTGGGCAGTCGCTTGATGGTTTTCAGAGGCCTCAAGACCCGCAGCACACGGAGAGACTTGATGGTCTTGATATCCCGTCCCTTGTTGGTCCTACCATGTCGGAGGGAGGCACGTGCACCCAAAAATGGAACAGAGAGACAGTAACTTTGTAGACCTGGACGCTCGGGGGGGGTTTAAACTGCTGCCAACACCCCCACCCCACCCCAGCACGTGTGAACACAGGAATAGGAGGGACACAAACGTGCCACTGCTGAGTGCTCAGCCCACCTAAACACATCTCCTCCAACACACGTGCTGACAGCTGGCAGAGACAAAAAACAAAGCAATGCCCTCCACCTCGGGATTAGCACCTTTCCCCTTCACCGGGGAGCAGTGACCTTAACAAACCCCTCTGTGTGGGAAGCCAGGGCTGGGGCAGGCAATGCTAGATTTTCAGGGTAAAGGCAGCACAAGGAGCATCCCTACTACAAGCACATGCCTTTTGCAGGTGGGGCTTGCACAAGGCCCCCACCACTGCAAATTGTTTTTTACCATTACTACTAATTGCAAGAAATTAATAATTAAATGAGGGAGATGTACTCAATAGGATCTACGTTGCCGGACAAACTGTTGATGCCCCATCCCTGGAGGTATTCTAGGCAAGGCTGGATGGGGCCCTGAGCAACCTGGCCTAGTGGAAGGTGTTCCTGCTCAAGGAAGCAGGGTTGGACCCCTGGAAGGGTCTCTAAGATCTCCCCAGATCAGGGCTGCACTTGCCTCCACCCCAAGTCAGCCGAGACAGAGCTTACTGGCAGAATTGTTGAGGAAAGCCCCCTCGTGGCCCTTATTTCTTGAATATGATGATTATTCCCAACCACAATACCAGTTTTTTTTTCTTATCTTTTCACTACCCATGGATTAGATCTCAGAATGGAGCAGAGATCCTGGTGAAGGTGGCACAGCTTGGATCCACCAGGCACCCTCAAAAAACATCAAGGAAAATTACTTACAACAACAGATGCTCCCCATTACACAGTTCCTCTGTGAGGGTTAATGCAACAGGGAGCACAATAATGGGCTTAATCGTTAAGAAGTGTAAACAAAACCACTAATTAATAGTCATCCCTGGGAGCACAGCCCCACATAGGCATGTGAAGCAACTGTATAAACAGCCCTGGGACTCACTTCACACCTCCTGGTTCCTGTTTTGCTCATTATCAGGGGCCTGGGCATCTGACTCAGGGCTGGGGCAAGGATTTGGGGGCAGTGCTCAGCTGGTGAAAGCTGCCACCAAGGACAGCTCAACTGCAGTGATTAACATCTACTAAGGAGGGATCTCTTCAGACCACAGGGGTGCCTGCAGAGCAGTGTACTGCAGTCTCAGCAATGCAGCTGGCATTGGTCAGCACTGGCGTTGGACAGACCAACATCCATCTGCACCCACCCCCCTGTGCTCCCCAGAGCAGCATCCCACAATATCCCGACCACCATAGTTACCCCAAAGCATTCCTGTCGACGATCCAGCCCAGCAGCCACCAAATAGCACCAGCAGAGAGGGAAAGAGAAAGAAAAGAGGAAGAAGGTAAGAAAAGCATTAGGGAAGTTGCACAGCAATAACTGCAGACTCTCAGGTACAGGGACCCTGTGACAGCTGTCCCCCACCCCATGCTTAGGTTGAAAGGCATGATGTGTAGACCACGCTGTGTCCTTCAGGATGGGGCATATTTCCAGGGAGAGACTCATCCAGCAAGTCAGGAGATCCTGCCCTCTCTGCTGGAGGTTTTGGGCTGGGGGCACACAGCAAAAGCTCTGCTGCAAGAGAAATCTGCAGAGAGCAGGACAGGGGGCAACAGCAGGTGGGTTCATGGTCCTCCTTAGCCAAGAGATGAGGGGGGACCTCAAGACTCGGCCCCAACCAGCCAAAGGTAGGTGCTTCCAAGGGAACATACCTGCAAAGCCACAATAGTTCCCATCCAAATTCTGCCAAATCACCTCCATAGAGAAATCCACTGATTAAGAGCCTGAACTGCAGCACAGAATCTCCTGCAACCCAGCAGGACACTCACTTGGACAAGCCAAGGTGGGCTACAAGTTGTTACCAAACCTCTGTTCCCGTTTGAGCTGAGTCCCTTCCACATGCACACAGAACACTTAGCACTGCAGGTAAAGCCTACAAGTAAAACATTTCCTAAAACATATAAAACTAACTCCAGACCCTGACTGCATGTTAGCCCAACAGGGTGGAGGGTCTGTTGAAAAGGGGATAGTTTAACTTTGCAGCACTTCTCTGGTGGGACCTCTGTCCTGAGCAGCCTCACGCCACGTTATTTTGCAGTGTGTAGGGGTCCCTCTTGCTTCCAGACACTGATGCCTAATGGCAGAAGGAGATGCTGCTCTGCAAGGAAAGAGGCACCTCTGCTGGGCACCTGCCATTGCTCACCAGGTAAGAAGATGAGGGCTACACAATGACCCCCCACACACCTCTGGGCAGCTGTACAGAGCCACGAGCGAGTACCACTCCACTGCGCAGTGCCTCCTCAGAGGGTGTCACAGGAGGCATAAGCGAGCAGGGTCTTTAGTTATGGTTCTGGTTATTCCAGCTAACTCAATTTGAACTCTTTGGAGATTTACAGCTTTTTATTTAGGCTGTCTATGGATTAATGTATTAGCTTTCCGTGTGGAGAGCTATGGACGAGCTGAGGATTGCTCAGGATGCAGAGGCTCCGAGGGAGCAATGCACAAGCCATGACGGCATAGTAAGTGATGGCTTTATGGGTGGAATCCTGCTTGTTGGTGATTTGGATGTGGCACTGACAGCAGATGTTGGCACCGCCGGACTAGCCCTCCTGCTGCGCCCACAGCCACCCAGGACCCCTAGGGGAAAACCAAAAACACAGAGGAGAGGCAAAATGGGGCAGAAAATCTTCAGGGCATGTCTTGGAACTTCTACTGGGAAGTGCTGGACTCAGTCACCAGCTGCTCTCACCCAGATAATTGCTGCAGCTGCTCCATGGGCATCACTGCCGACCGAGCACCATGGAGGAGAGGAGGAGTACGAGAAGGAGGACAATCACCCCACCCTAGACCCACATCAGAGAGCTCATGGAGGGACAAAAAAAGAGAGATGGATTCAAACATCACCACCAGAGTTTTCCCCTCAAGACCAGGAGGGAGGGTGGCAGGCAGGGTGGCAGGCTGGGACACGCAGACCCGGTGAACATCCCGCAGCTCCCCGGGGGTGTAGCAGCGATGGGCTGCCAAGAGGAGAGGCAGGTGTTCTTATAAATGCTTTATAATGTATAAACCCATCGGAAATCACCGTGGCTCCTTTGTTCCCCTCACTCCCAAAGCCATGAGATCATCTCCTCCTGCAGGAGCTACCATTGGAGGTGGGGGAGATGGACAATCCTGCAGGTTTACATGATAAAGAGCCCCTGTCCACGACACAAGCAACTCAGTATCTACCCAGCTACGGCTACAAGAGTGAGCAGGTGACATCGGTGCTTTCTGCAAATGGCTGTGGAGATGCCAGGGCCTTCTCCATGGGAAGGGCTTCTGTGCCACAGCCCATGGTGGTGATCACCCTCAAGAATTCAGCTGCCCCATGCCCAGAGGGAATGTCCTTCCCTCTGGAGGATGGGTGGAGGCAGGCAGGTGACAAGCAGGGCTAGAAGGGACATGGCAGCTTCCCCACATGCTCAGTGCTGGACCCTGCTACCTCCAGGGGCAACTTCAGGAACTGTGTCACCTTTGTGGGGTGGGGGCAAGGGGACAGTAAACACAGACTACTGTACTGTTAGCACTGGTGAGGGCACCCATCGACTCAGGAGCAGGCTGAGCCATCAAGCTACGCTCCTTCAGCCATCAAAAGTCTTGATGGAAGTTGTCTTGGAAGGAAAAAGTTTCCTTTTCCTCCTGTAAAGATCCTCAAACTATTCAGTGCATCTTCAGGCAGGTGATGCCCTTGAGACCTGCCAGACATGCTCTGAGAGGCTGTCCTGGCAGAGGAGGGATCAGCCAGATCCCAAAGATGTCTGATCCACCCTCATGGTGGCCTGGGTGGCCTCCCAGGAGTTCAGAGCATTGTTCCCAGCCAGCAAACTTGCTCCATGCCCCTTGCCCATGCCAGGGTCTGCAGGAACTGCAGGGGCTGGTTCCTCCCTGCTCTGCGTGAGCTGAATTCTCCCATGCTCTTCCCGAGGAGAGAGCAGGGGCTGAAAGCACCAGGAAAGGAATGGGGTGAGGAAGGCAAAAGCAATGAGCCAGGGATGGTGCAAGTGGGTGAGAACCAGGAAAAGGAGCTGCTGCCCAGTCTGGGGTGAGATGGGAGGGATGGATTACGGGCTGTAATCCATCGAGCGGCATCAGGGCTCCAACACAGCCACCCCGAGAGCCTCACACGGTACCTGAGCTGTGGACAAGGACAAGGCTTCAGTCTGCGTGGCTGCCAGGCCCTCCCCTCTCACCGGCACTAACGCCACCACCGCCAGTGTCAGAGGCACAAAGAGAGAACAACAGCATGACAAAGGAGCCTGAGCCTCTCCTCTTTTCTCCTCTCCCTCCTCGGGCACCAGCAGGGCATCACAGCCCTGGGGCCTGCGAGCATCACCGTGGCACCACACATCCCTCCCTGTGCTCACGCTGCATCACCTGCCCCAACCAGCGGCACACAGGAGGGCAGAGCAGCATGAAACTCATCCCTGGGTGCTCCTCCCCTCCAGGGCACAGGCATCATAGACATCCCGGTATCTGCAGGCGCCACAAGCTCAGATCCAGAGCCCAACCACAAGGTGATGCTCAGCGAGGACATACTGCAGGGCAAGCACACAGCACCCTGACTCCGCTGTGGTGCCGCAGAGGCTGCTGGCACAAACCTCACCAGCCACATCCCCATCCCTGCAGGGCTCTGGAGCGACGTTCCCCCTCAGAGCAGAGAAAAAGGAACCATTTCCAGCACAAACATGTTCAGAGGGCAGCTCCATCCTGCTGGCTACTGCTTTTGCTCTCTCTGTGCACCCCAAGATGCATAGCAGCTGTATAGTTCCAGCTCTGCCACCCTTAAGCTCTCTCCCCTCTCCAACAGCCCCTTCTGATCTGTTTCAAATCTACTTTCACCATCAACCTCTTCCTAGCACTTCCAGTTTGCCTTGCCTTGCTCCCTGCCTGCTTGCTCACCAGCATTTGATAAACAAGGAGAAATACATCTCTGGAGCAGCCACACACCACTGCTAGGAGCAATCCCAGAAGCAGAGAAGAAGGGTGCAGAGAAATAAAAAAAGCAAAGTCAGGGGCTCGTAGTCATAAGACACAGCTGCATTCTTTTCCCACCACAGCCAGGGGAAGGCAGGGACCTGACAAGGATGATGGTCACTTACGCCAAGGCAAAAGCCACCAGTGCTCCCACCACCACGATGAAATCCAGGATGTTCCAGAGGTCTCGGAAGTAGGACCCATCCTGCAGGATCAAGCCTTGATCAATCATCTGGAGGGGAGAAACAGAGATCAAAACAGGCAGGGAATGAGCAGCTCAGGAAGAGCCACTGGCCGGGCAAGGTGGGGGATGGAGAGTCTGCTGGGGAGTAGCAGACTCATCCCTGTGTCCTGGGTGTAGGTCAAGGAGCATCATATTTGTGTGGAAGCCTGGAGGCTGACAAAAGTGGTGCTGAGCACTCTAGACTCCCATTGCTGAGAACCAAAACTTTAGGGTCTCCACCACCCAGATTTGGGACCAGAACTGAAAAACTGAGCTATTTCCCATCCCCTGCAAAGGATGCTGCTGGTCTCGGCACCCACAGCCTGCAAGGGCTCTTACCTTGATAACCATCTCGAAGGTGAAGACGCCAGTGAAGACATAGTCAAAATACCTCAGGACCTGCAGAGAGAGTCACGGGTGCTCTGCAGATGCTGCCAAGCAAACAGGCCCATTGGTACCCACCCAGACCCCACCACCATCCCACACCATGGTTTGCCTGGCTCAGGTGCAGACAGAGGGTCCTTGCCCCAAACCCAGCCTGTGTAGGCAGAAGGGAATAATTTCCTGTGCATAGCACAAGTGGCTTGGGCATCATGCTGTGAGCTGGAATTGTGTAGCCCCACACCAGTGCCCGTGAACACCAGCATCTCCCCAGTTTAAGCTACTTTACTGCTGACAAGGTACCGTGGTCTGCAGCCCAGGCTCTAAACCCCTCGTGTGGGAAGCTGGGGTTTATAAAGGAAGGTGATGAGGAAGAAGTCAGACTCCATGGCACAGTGCAGGTGCTGCCACCGGCTGCCCTCATTCCCTGTCCCACACGTGCTCCACCACAGAAGCTAAAATTCTACAGGACCTCTGTCTGCACTGCCCTGCGGGACAGGGGGAGCGGGAGAGGGTTGCAATCACTTTGTTGCGGTCGGAGTTGGTGAGGACGGGATCCTCGGCCGCCAGGGCGATGCTGCTGGCGGCAATCACCAGGAGGATGCACATCTCGAAGTAGCGCAGGTTCACGATGTAGTGGCAGGCCCTCCGCACCCTGTGGGGACACAGCCCACACCCCGACCCGTGAGCCCCTGGCAGGCCCCAGCCATGGCCCACGGGCAAAACCCACCCGCCTTCCAGGGCAGAAAGATGGGCAGCAAAGTCTGAGGAGCAGGAGAAGGGAGCTCAGGGAGAATTTGGGCCCGCTGACCCTTTTCTTTGGCCGTCCCACCCACCCCCATCCACCCCACAACCAAGCAGCTGAAGTCTCTGAGAAATTGGGGCGCTTATTCTTCCAGGCTGCTGGAGCTGGGGAAGAGCTACAGGGGAGTATAAAACTGCAGATAAATTTAACAATTAGTGACTAAAAATCCCAACTAGTCATCGGCAGTTGGGAGACAAAGTCAAGAGCGTGGATGGCACAGAGGGAGACAGTTGTGGGGCCGGGGGAACACCACAGCTGGTTATCAAGGCTGTTTGGGAGATACTCAGACTCCCTCCCATGAGGTTTCCCTGGTTTTGGTGATGTCTAGGGGTCTTTCCCCTTGCAACCCTCCTCAGCCCAGGGGCTCCTACGTTCCAAAAAACATCTCACGGGTTGGTGGTGCTGAAGATGAACATGGAGCTGTGCGGCACCATTGCTTTGCCTGTCTCGCTTTTTTCCTTCTTCCGCTTCTTCTTCTCCATTTCCTCCTCATCTTCTTTGGTCTCGGCCTCCTTTAAGGGGCTGGCTTCACCATCTGTCTTGTTGCTAACTGCAGGAAAGCGAGAGCCTTTGCCTGGCCTTGCACCCAGACAGCACCCTGGGGTGTCCCTGCAACATGCAGGCACATGCAAACCCCCTGACTCCTGCTTTAAATCCCTGTGCTGTTACTGGGAGACGGGCCTCTCTCTCAGAAAGGAAGAAAAAGAGATGAGATGCTGGGATGAAGCACATGAAATGGGGTTTAACAAGGCCAGCTTTCACCATGCTGTTTAATTAATAACACTGTTTAGAAGCAGCTCACCTTGACAGCAAGAATGCTGCTAAGGTGTTTGAGCGGCAGCAAGCTGGGGGAGGCTGTGCATGTGTCAGGAAAAACAGGGAATGCAACTGTTTTTTGCCCGGGCGGAGAGGAAGGGGGAATGACGAATCAGATGAAGGGGTGGATGGCAAGGGGGTGAGGAAGAGACACAGCCCCTGGAGGATGATAGCACATCAGCACTACATTTGGGATTCCCCTGTGAAACTGGGGTGCTGGACGGAGGTGCTGCAAGGAACAGCAAAGAAATCCCTCCCCCCCAGTTGGTGGATGTGGACAGGAAAAGCCATGCAAGCGGCTTTCCATCCCCACAGGGTTCCCGAGGGCTGGGACAGGGGCTCAGGAAAGAGAGATGGGTCCTCACTGTGTACCACAGCAGAGTCGTGGACATCGATCATGATGGTGGTGCTCTCCGTGGCCTTCTCAGTGTTGGGGGTGATGGAGGAGAGGTCAGGCTCGCTCCGGCTGACGGTGCGACTGCCCTGCAGCAGCGCCTGCTCGCTGGTGTCTGGGCTGCTGCAGTCCTGTTCTGTCAGGTTGCCTGTCTTCCCCTGGTGGGGCTCGGGGACTGCATGTGGGGGGCTCCCCTTCTTGGCAGTCCCAATCAGATCAGCATCGCCGGCAGGGACCCCATTTGTCCTGCAGGAGGGATGTGAGAGAAAACAAGGTGTGAGAGGACAGGGAGAAAGGACTAGGAGCTCTGGGAACGGCAAGATGCCCTCCCCAGTTACCAACCTGACAGACTCTCCGCTTGCCTCCGGCTCCCCCTGAATCAGCACCTCGGCTGCGGCCACGTCCCCACGCCGGTCCCCATCCTGTGCCCCCTCCATGGCGCTGGCCTCCTCCAGACCCATTTCCTGGCTGGCCGAGCGGCTCCCCAAGATGCCAGCTTGCTCCTTCCCCTCCATCCGGGCTCTGCGGTGCCGGCTGCGCCGCTGGCTCTGCCTCATCCTGGCTCTATCCTCGACGCTGCCACCTGCCCCGTCCTGCTCGCCCGGCTCACAGTTCCCATGGCATGATTTCTGCTGCCACATTTCCTTGTCCCGCTTGGCCCGGGGCGATGGGCTCCTCCTCTCCTCACCACCGCTGGGATTGGCTCCCAGGACAGGCTGCTCTGGTCCCTCCGCCAGCGGCCGCTCGCCCTTGCCCTGCTCCTCGGTGCATTTCTCCAGGGTGACGCCATCCCCTGGTTTCTTCCTGCGGAAGATGCTGGCGTGGGGGTTGATGAGGGGTGGCTCGTCCTTGTTGATGCCCTCCTGGCTGGACATCTGCATGTGCCGGCGCAGCTGGCTGGTGCGCTGCTCCCACACCGACATGTGGTGCCGCCGGCGACGCTCCCGCCTGCGACGGGGGACAGCAAGGGGTCAGCATCCTGGCTGACCCCACCTCCCACCAGCTGAAGCACCCACCCTGGATTTAATCTGGGAATCCCAGGGAGAGGGAAATGCCACCACCAGGGTTACAGGCTGTGCTAAGAGTTTGTCAGCCCTCTGGTGATGGCAGGGGCTGGAAAGGGGGCTGAGACTGTACTTATAGCCCCTTCAGAAGGCATCAGGCTGATGGATGACCAGCCCCAGCATCCTCACTGCCGCCCTGAAGCTTTCTTGTCCAGCTTCTGGGAGCAGACAGCACCCTGGCTTGCCCTATCCCAGAGAGGCAGGAACCACCTTCCTCTCGTGTGATTGCCTGGAGCCACCTTAAATTTGGGCCAAGCCCTCTCGCTGTACACAGGGACCCCTTTTTGCCTCTCGCCAGCACATCCCGGGTAGGAAGCCTGCCCCGAGGTTCGGGAAGAAGCAATTTTGACTGTCTGCAGGGGAAGGAGCTGTACTGGGCTTCTCTACGTGGAGGACGAGGATGTGCCATGAAAACCTTAGCAGCGTCGTTAAGTTCGCCGGCAAACACCCTGGAGCAGACAGACGCGCCGTTCCCGACACACCTTAAGGCACGGGGGAAACACCCACGAGTACACACACCGCTCGCACACCGTGCACGGCACATCCACGGGCGGCGACACGCACGTACGGCACAGCACCACACACGGGGTGGGGGGTCCGGCACACACCAAACCACACGCACACGCACGAACGAGGTGCACGGCAGCACAGGGATGCAGGCACGCACACACACACACGGCCACTCCCTCCCCGCCCTGCCGAGGAGGCCGGCGGGGAGCGGGGTGTGCCCCGGCCCCGCGGACGCACAGACAGCACAGGAGCCACAGACGGACACGCGCCCCCGCGGCCCACATACAGGTGGCTGCTGCGTGGCTCCCACATCGACATGTGGTGTCTCCTCCGCCTGTCTCTTCTGCGGAGGAAAAATAAACGGGTTCAATCCCCCTCTTCGCCCCTTCTTCCGCTCCTGTGGGCAGCGCGGAGAGGTGTCCCCCCACCCTGGGCAGCCAGCATCTCTTTGCCGATCGGCTGCTGGGCAGTGAATCCCTGCACGTACACAGAGAACCCACACTTGCACACCGGCAGTGAGCTGCCCACAATCACACTGACACGCTGGGATCCACTCCGTGGGGGCCACAGAGCCCTCCCCACGCCGTGCGTGGGGAGAGCAGTCCTTCAGAAGCCCCCAAACATCCTTGGATATTTAACAGCTGTTCCAAACTGCTCCAAATTCACTTTTCCCAAGAAAAACGTGGCAATTGGAAAGAGGAGGGAAGGCATCAGACCAGCCCCAAGCTGCTCAGAGCTGTCACCATGCTGCCCTAGGTCTAGAGAAGGAAACAGGAAGCTCCCCAACAAATGCAAGGCACAAGCCCAGGGTGAGCTGCCACAGAGTTCTTGTCACTTATGCAGCCCACACATAGAGAAGATTAACAGGGCTGGCAGTGTCCTTCACCCCCACCAGCAGCTGGGGAGATCTGTGGCTTTAACCTTCATATCAGCACAGATTCAGATAAAGCACAGCTCCAAGCAAACCACCCCAAGCAGATGCAATCATAGAATCACAGAATCTCTTAAGCTGGAATGGATCTACAAGGATCTACAAGGATCACCGAGTCCAACCCCTGGCACTGCACAAGACAACCCCAAGAATCACACCATGTGCCTGAGAGCATTGTCCAAATGCTTCTTGAGCTCTGGCAGGCTCAAGACCACTTCCTAAGAGTTTGAAGACATTCCCTGTTGTCCTACCACTTGTCAAAAAAAAAAAACACCTTGTCGAAAGTCCCTCTCCAGCTCTCTTACAGTGTAAGAGAGGTATTGTAGGTACTGGAAGGTGCTTTAAGGCCTCCCTGGAGCTTTCCCTTCGCCAGGCTGAACAACCTCAACTCTCTCAGCCTGTCCCCACGGGAGAGGTGCTCTGGTCACGCTGGTCATTACAGCATGGGAACAGCACAGTGCCACGCTCAAGGTGGGGATCAAGTTACAGGCACCCACCGCCATCCCCGCAGCAAGTGCCCGAGCCTCCGAAGGCATCCACGCACCGCGTTAGGCACCAACACCTGACAGGACCTGCACGCGTCCATCTGGCCACCCACTCACCAAGCAGCCCCGCGCCATCTGCCCCGCCGGCGCCCGCGGACCGATACGATACCCCGAGCGGCACCACGGCCGCCTGTGTCAGCCTGGCCACGTGGGAACACCCATCCCGTGGGAGCGCTTGTCCCCGCAGGCCGCCGGAGCCCTCTGCAGGCAGGAGAGCATGTACCGACCTGCCCGCACTGGGTACCCACCGAGGAGCGAAGGCGTCTGTGTGCGCACACCCAAAGGCAGAGGCCAGCTCTGCTCCGGATTTTCACTTGATGTGCTGTCCCCACTATCCCTCCCTGGCTGCTGGCATCAGTGCAGCACCACCAAAAGCACATCAGAGCAACAGTCACCCCACCATGGCATCACACTCCCTGCCCCCAACCCTATCCGTCCTCATGAGTGGGAGGAGTTGGAAAAAAGACCTGTGAATATCAATACCTCTCATTTCAAAGCCACTAGAACAATAAAGGAAAGGTTAGAGACTGTTTTCCCAACCAGCTCCACCTCACAATGAACTAAAAAGCTCTATCAGGAATGTGCAGCATGGGCAAATCCTTTACTGCCCTAATATATTCCATCTCCCCCTCTTCCTCTCTTTCATCTGTCCATTCTTCATCCTCTGCTGCAGCCTAAATCCCTGTGTTTCCTCACTTTATCCAACATATTCCGATTGGTAGCCAGAAACAGTCATGACATACAGACTCCATCATCTTTCCCATAATCCCCCCAAGTACTTGGGCAGACACAGATTTATTACGAACATCCTATCACCCCCAAACCAAGGAGAAACCTGTGGCTGCCAGGAGGTCAGGCAGGGCCTACAAGTACCCCTGGTTCCTGCTGCGCCTAAAATCATGAGTGGAGGGACCGTCAGATCCCACTGTTGCCAAACCAGGGAGGGGGCTGTTGCCAACAGTGCCTGCAGCCCCCCCAGATCAGCACTGAAAACAGCAGTTTCTCTCAACAAATCTGCAAGAGATTCTGCCCTGTATGAGCTTGGCTGGGTTTCAAAGCATAACGAAACCTTAAAATTCCCTGGGAAAGGATTCTTTAAAAAAAAAAAAAAAAAAAGAAAAAGAAAAAAGGAGAAAAAAAAAATATCTTCAGCTGTACTGAAATGTACTGTTTTGGGAAACAAATCAAAACGCCTCGTTCCAATGTTGACTTTGAAAGTTTTATGTGATTTAGACCATATGACACTGCAAAATAAAGAGAAAAAAGGCATCTAGAAAGGAAAAAACAGAATTTTCTCCTGCTGAAACACAGAGACAAGGCTCCTTAACACCCTGCTGCAGGTTTATGTAGTTTGGGGCTTTTTTTCCTTGCTCAAATCAAATTTCTGTACAGTCAAATGTCGTTTCACAAACCTGCTCCATCTTTCCTAACTGCATTCACTCCCAAGGAAGGAGCCTGGAGGAGATTTGTGACACTGCTGCTCCCTTCTCCCCCAGCCCTGGCTGCTCTCCTGCAGCTCTGCCACAAAGAAATGCTCCCTAGGAACAAATATCACCTCTCTTTAAGAATAACTGGAGATACCTTCCTCCTCCCCAGCCTCCATGCCCACCCTTAGCATCAGCCCTCAGTGTTTGAGCTCATATTTGGGGCAGAAAGCCTTTTTTTAGCATATTTCTGCCATGCCCAAGAACTGAGGCTGCTGCTTGGGTAGGGTCTGGCAACTCAAGGTCCCCTAGGGTAACCTGGTCCCTGTGCTGCCACCTCTCCAAAGGCAACGCTGCTCACGAGGAGCACAGTCCTAGATCCCAATCCATCCATCCACCCTCAGGAAGACACCCAGAGAGGGTCACCCCATGCAGAGACCTCTTTTTTTTTTGTGGAAGCCCCCACAGCCAGCCATACCAGGCTCTGCCGCACCTCTGTGCCCCTCTAAGAAGCCTGGCTGGGCTCAGGGGTTCACTGGGGTAGCAGTGGTGTGGGGGGGTCACTCACTCGATAGCAGGCATATTTGGGGCAGACATGGGGCTGACTTCCTTGGCTTTCTGAAGGGCGTGCTTCTGGTTAAAGGCCTCCTCTTCCTCCTGCTCATCCTGCAGAGAAAAGAGGGGCATTGCTTAGTGGGGTGATGGGATTTCAAGGGAAGGTGCAGCCACGCCAGGGATCTGCAGGGCTACCCTACATGGCAAAGCATGAGGGACAAAGCGGGGCTTGTATTTCCAGAGACAGTCTTTATTTTCATTGTGCTGCAGAGATGCAACTTCCCCACTACAACCAGATCTTACTGAAGGCATCAGCACTACTTAAATTAAGTAAACCCAGGCCACTCCAGGCAAGAGCTGGGCTGTGCACGCTAGAACAGCCCCAGACAGCAGACCAGCTCAGCCCTCCCTTCTTCACAGCCACAGGGGCTACACAGGCATCCCCCTAACAGAGTGGGAGGCAAGGCATCCACGAACGACCCCAGCGGAGACTGGGTTGATTTAATGAGTATGGCTGTGTCTCAGGAGCAAGAAATGTCATTAGGAGTCATTAGCGTGCGTTCAGGCTTTTCAAAAACTTGGCACTCTCTTAATTGATGCTGCTGGCACCCCGTGCAGCTCTCCCATCCCTCTCACCCCAGCGGCAGACAGCAGTCCCTGGAAGTGCCATCTGCACCCACTGCGGGAGGACAGGGACCGCCCCCCCCGCCCCCCCACGCACACACGCCCCTCAGGCAAACCAGCACCGTGCCCCATTTTGGGTCAAGATTTACAGCAGCGTGGAAGCCTCACAGTAAGCCCCAAGGACGTGAAAAATAGGCATGGGCTCTACAAAAATCTGGTTCCCACGGGATCACTGATCTGCTCCAAAGAGCGGCAGTGACCCTTGGCAGCTCTCTCCTATTCGCTGTTATCCAGATGGTGCCCCAACAATTTAGCATTCCCCAAATATTTCCCAACATGGTCTTAAAAACAGCTAAGCCCAATAACCTTCTTAAGCACCAGTCTAAATTGCATCCTAAATCACATTCGCTGCCCTGTGGGCATATGGGGAATAAATACTGACACCACTGGAAAGTGCTTCCCACTCCACATCTCCAGGGTGCTCCAGCAAACAACAGTCCCCACACCAGATCCCATCCAACAGATGAGGGTTATTTTGATCTGACTTGGCAGCAAACAGAACTGGGGAGCTTAAAGGGAGAAATGGTTAAAGCCACACTTGAAGTGTGGGTGTTCCTGAAGGGATCAGCAGGTTCAAGCACTTTCCTAAATCAAAGTCTTAAATGGCTTTGCCTCCGCTCCCTTCACAAGAGAAGGAGCAGCAGGAACACACCTTGGTGAGCTCCTGGGCATTGGCCAGGTTGTCCACGGCAATGGCCAAGAAGACGTTCAGCAGAGTATCTGTGAGCAGCTAAGGATGCACAAGCCGTGTGTTAAGGACATGCATGTCTGCAGCTACCAAGGGAAGGTGGCCCTGATGGCACCTCGTCAGCGCAGTGAGGAGCAGCCAAAGGCATAAACTCCTCACCCATCCCATATAAACAGCCCTCAGTGCACCTCCAGACAGCTGCTCCTCTGCGTTTGGGATACCCAACGCTGCCACACGTGTGGCGGGTCTCCCCCAGTTGGGAGAGAAGGAAGGAGCAGTGGGTGGGGAGGGGGATGCCCCCACAGAGGGTGATAAGATAAAAGCACAGCAGCCAGGTGGATACAGTTTCCAAACAAGGTGAGGACGATGAAATAGATGGAGGACCACATCCCTGAGCGAACACCTCCCTGGGAGCGGATGCCATTGTACATCACCTCGTTCCAGTCCTCACCAGTCAGGATCTGCAGGAAAGTAACACAGCATCTCTGTCACCTGCACCTTCTTGTCACCCACCAATACACAGGAGCCAAGTACAGAGACCCTGTGCAGTGGATAACCCAGCCCCTAAGCTGCAGCACCTGAGGCAGATGACACTGGACACTGCTGAGGATTTAGTTCTCCTCAGAAGAGTTTTGAAACTCTTCATCTTCTGTAACAGAGGCAGAAGAGTTTCCATCTCCTGCCATCCACTTTGTTATACAGGAGAGGGAGGAAGTGAGTTATATACTAACAGCTGATAGAGGGGAGCCTGTTTGGTTTAACGAGCCCCTTCCAGCCACGGAGGAGTGAGTCCCAAGTCCCTTTAGTTGTGTTCCCTTGCAGTCCAGCTCCTACCTGAAACACTGTCATGATGGCCGCAGGGAAAGTGTCGAAGTTGGCTGATGGAGTCCCATCCATGAAGTTAAACCTGGGAAGGGGAACCGGAACATAAACGGGATGAGACACCAAGGTCAACAAACCCCTGATTGCTGTACTATCAGCTCTCTTGTGCTTAGTAGGACCTTTCCCCAGTCCAAAAAAGGTCTCCTGAGTATTTGGCGTAGAAACCAAAAAGTCTCCTGGCTAGAAGGACCCTCACAGCCCAAAGGCAACCCCTGAGCAGGGACTTCTGTGTGGGAGAAGTACCACTGTTAGGAGCAGACTGAGGGGGAAGGCTTACAGTCTTCCTGGTCCCCTAAAAAAGGTGTCGTCACTTGGTTTCAACACCAAGAAATTCCTATTCCTCAGACTTGAAACAACCTACCTGCCTCCAAACAGCTGCATTCCCAGCAGGGCAAAGACTACAATGAAGAGGAAGAGGAGGAAGAGAAGGCTGATAATAGACTTCATGGAGCTCATCAGGGAGACCACCAAATTTCTCAGGGATGCCCAGTACCTAGAAAACAGAGACATTGCTGGAGCACTCACAGTAATGCTGACCTCACCAGCAGGAGAGCAGGAGAGTGACTGGATCTGGGCTGCAGCCCCAGTCTGAGATGGAGACTGACAGGCTCTGGTGGTTGGTACACACTTGGTTATTTTAAATATCCGCAGGAGACGAAGGGCTCGTAGGACACTGATCCCAAAAGAGGTTCCTGGTCTGAATATAGCCCAAACCACTTCAAAGATGCTTCCCACTGTGACCTGAGAAACAGACACAGCCACAAGTCAAAGACAGGCTCAGGACAGGCTGTTGCAGGAAAACACAATGTGCCTGAAGATGAGGCACCCACCACCCTGCCCAAGACCTGGTGTCTCAGGATGACACAAGGAGGCTGCCCCAGCAGAAAGGGCTCTCCTGCCCACTGTGAGGGCCATCCCATTCTCCCCCTTGGTGCCTTATGTTGCATCTCCCCCCACACCCACAGCATCTCCAGGCCTGCTTACCCCACAGTCAAAGCAGTTGAAGGAAGAATGGAAATAAAGGCGTGGCCCCATCCCATACATCTTTAAGGACATCTCCAGCAGGAAGAGCCCAAGAAACAGGAACTCTGCATAGTCTAAAAGAGAAAACCCCAAACATGCTACCCTTGGGACAGTGAGCTGTGTGGAGCACCCTGCATGCACCCACCTGTCACCCATACAGCACACCACAGAGACGAGACAAGTCAAGGACCACAACTGCATCCCCAGGCTCTCAGACTCTGGGGTGAGGGAAGCTCGTCTGTGAGGAGCTAAATTGTACGTAACAGCGCATCAACCCCATGACTTCATTGTTCAGGGTAGTTGCACCAGTGTCCCAGGAGTTTGGGAGGACCAGGGATGGCCAGCACAGAGCAGAGCAGCTCTTCAGCATGATTTGACAGTGGCTGAGGCCTTTGCAAAGCCATCAACCACATGACACTGGGGGGGAATGTTATCAACCTGGATTTAAATCATTGCACGGCTGGAGCTTGGCCAGGGAAACCAAGCCGAACAGCCAGTGAAAAGCTTCTCCAGCTATTTCATGAACCTTTAGCAGGCAAGAGCCTGGCTCTTCCCCTCGTCCAGAAGATGCTTCTCACCACGACCAGCTGCCATACCACATCACGGCGTACTGGGATCCCGGAAAGCCCGAGCATACTATTGCAGGTTTGGGTAGACCCTCTGCTTGACAGGGACATTTTCAAGGTAAGAATAACAGGCAGAACTACTGCAGCAGCAGCTCAGGAGTAACATACGACTGCCATGGGGTTGACCACGCTGCTCTGCACTTTGCCCATGCTAGGATAGACATGCTAGGGCATAGTGCCTTTGAGACCCAACCTTGTACCATGGTCCATGGGCTGAAGAGGGACACTCCTGCAACTGGAAGCTTGGAATGCCCCTGCCATGCTCTGCACCAAAATTTTGACTCCATGACCAGTCCCGTCCTTGCAAACTCACACCTTTCAGCAATTGCTTGTGGGCATTCAAAGACGTGTCTCCAGCAAGATTGCCATCACCACTGGTCACAGTTTAAGGATAAATCCCACCAAGACCCACAGTCTGTTTCTCTGTGTTGACAAACACATCGTACCTGAAGGACACGAGGCCAGTACAACCCCTCCACATTTGCTCATAGGACTGGGACAGCCCTTAGTGGCCACAGGGCCAAGGGCAAAGCTGAATTCCATGGCTTCACACACCCCTTTCTCATCAACAGTGAATGTCATTCAGGTTATTCCCCACCCAGCTTCATCCCAGCATGATTCTGGTGAGGTTCATCCCCACGTGCCCTGAGGCAAGGAGCGAGGGTGTGCTGCAACCTCCAGCTGCCAAAGACAAGAAGGTTTTGCCCACCCAGGCAGAGCTCTCACACCTACACAAAGCCCAAGGACTCACAGAGGAAGTGGGTGAGCCAGGCTGGCTGGTTGTGATGGACGATGGCCACACAGGCGGTGTTGAGAGCCACCAGGCTCAGGACGATCCAGTAGAAGACCTGGGATTTCACCATGTGGCGAACGGAGATGCGCAGGAGTCGCTCCTTGTGTCGTAAGTAGGAGGCACTGTCCATTCTGGCACCTTTGAGGCCAGAGTGACTCAAGGGGTTACCTAAAGGAAAAGAGGGGGGACAAGGAGTTGGGTGCTCCAGTCAAGGTGAGAGAAGGACTCGAATGCTCCAGCCTTGCCTGCAACGTGAGACATGGACATTGCTCTTAAGGGACACGACTTATCCAAATGTTTATTAAGTGGCACAGGGGACAGCAGGAGGTTTTCCCCCTTTGCTGCTGAACTAGCAGAGACAGCTGATCTGTGACGGCCTCCGTGTGATGGGTGTGGCTGGCAACTCAATAAGCTCGCAGAGGTTTTGGGGAAGAAAGCTAAGAACTGCACTGACCCAAGGTTGGATGGAGAGGTCTTCTCTGTGCCAGCCTCCGCTCGCCCACAGAGGAGATATCGACACAGTGCTCATCGCTCGAGTCACGGTTCATGGCATCTGTACGGTTCCTTTTGATGGTGGCTCGCCTGAGCACTGCGAGGGGAAGAGGAATGGGTGTTGGACAGTGGCCCAATTCTGCCAGTAACCACCTCCTGAACAAGGACCTGGTGATCAGTGCTTAGGTCTGGTAAGAGGGGTTAAGCTCAGGGGTCAAGCTGTCAATCCACCTCCCCACAACCCCCTCATAGGCTGCAGATTTCCCTGAGGCATCCCCAGACCTCCCATCACAGATGGAGGTCTCAACTGGGCAGGCAGAAGTAAGAACAGGCAAATTTTAAGGGCATTGCTTGTCTTACCTTCTAAGGCTGAGGTCCCAGAATTTTTGTTCTCTTCAGCCAGCATGACTTCCTCTATGCAAAACACACAGTTCAGCATCAGGAGACGAGACACCATCCGACATCACTGCCTCACACCTAAGCACCTTTCCCAGCCCAGAGGCTGGCTCTAGGTTGAAAACTCTTATCAAGTATTGGTTAGGAGGGTGACAAGTGGCAGCTACCACACACTGGGTCAGAAAGAAAAATTACTTGCAATCAGCCCTTCTTCCTCCACCATCATTAATCTCCCCATGAAGCTGAACACTGTAGTCAGGTCAGGGGCTCTACTCAGGGCCAAAACTAAGGTCTGGGGCTCAGGGCTAATTCTGAGTTACCCATATTTTACAAGTCTGAATGCCAGATGAAAGTGTAAATCTTCCCTTCACAGAGCTCAATGCACTGACTTGATTCCTATGAGGAGCAAGCAAGGACATGGACTGTGGCAACACCCACAGGCTGTCACGCTTGGCTGGGTGTCAGCAGGAAGCCTGGAACCTCCACCACCCCAAGCCCTTGCTCAGGTCCACAAGCACCAGTAAGTGCATCCCCCCCAGCTGGCTCCAGGAGGAGATTTAACTGGAAAACAAGTCTCACCGTTCACTGCTCTACTTTCCCACTGCCCACCACTGCAGGGAACTCCAGCAAATGTCAAGAGAAAGGAAACCACTGCAGAGCACGGCTGACAGCCGTGTTGTTCACAGCCTCCCCTGAAGATGTAACACACCTCATGTTCAGAACATGACAGTTTCACGCCACAGAACAAGAGGTTTCATCAGTGACCGGTGATGTCATTGTTTGCAGCCTGACCGGGCCGTCACACCGAGCTCACCCAACATCATTGGGAGCACCTGAGCCACTTGGGGGCTGCACTGGATGTTGCTCAGGGATTCCTTTCCAGCACCAGCACCCCACACGACCAGCAGTCTGTGGTGCCCGTTGTGCCCCCAGAGCCCCCCCCGGCCCAGCAGCCTTTACCCGCTTTGTCTATCCATGCCCGGTATCCGTTGAGCTCCCGCTCAATCTGCTGCTGGCGCCGCAGCTTCATGAAGGCTCGGCGGTTCTCCACTCGCTCACGCTCTTTGGCAAACTCCCTGGGGAAGGGCAGAAGGGAGTGGTGAGAGCAGGTCCGAGGGGGCTGGAGAACCACAGGGATGGCAGGGACCAAGGGTTTGCCACGGTGATTGCTGGGGAGATGCATCGTCATCCCTGGCCAAAGCACAGCCAGGGGATGGATGAATGATCAGGGAGAGGAGAAAATAAGGCGTGGGTGGACACGAGCAAACCCCCTGCTTGACTTCTGAGTCCCGCATGCCCCAGCTGGGAGCTGCCAACATTAAGGGAGGATGCTCCCAGTGCCACCCAACTCCAGAACAGGCTTGGCTTCTGTGTGTCCCTTCAGGGAATAAAAACCAGGCAGTGGGAAGAGGCAGTGAGGGGATGGAGCAGGGCAGGTCATGTCCCCTGCCTTTACCTCCTCCTCTGAATTCCTTTTCTTTCCAGTTTCTCCTTGGATTTTTTTTTCCCAGCACCTGAGACATCCCTGTTGTCCTCCTCTGGATTTCAGTGTCTCACAAGAACTGTCCAGGTGTGACGACCAGCCCAGAAGAGGACAACAACTTGGGGCAGCTCTGCAATGGGCAGGAGGTCAGGCAGCATCACAGGGGCTCCGTGCAGGCTGGGGCATATCAAACACTGAGCAACGCTGGCCAGAACTAATGCTGTGCCTGCTGCAGCCTCCAACACATGGGGTGCACAAAGGCAGTAGCAACCATGTGCTCACATGAACCTCTAAGCACACAAATAATCATGCTCCTCAATATATACAAGACATGACTTCACCTACAGCCCAGCCCAGAGCTGTGTGAAGACACCCCCGTTCGCAAAGTACATTGAACACAAACAGGAAAATGGAAATACTTGACAGGGAACACAGGAGTGGCAATGCAGGCAACCTCCACCCACACCAGGGGTTGTATGTAAGATGACATGGCCAGACCCGCTTCTAGGAGGTCCCACACCCCACGTTTGCACACACCGTATACCTGGGGCACCTTGACCCAAAAGTTACACCTCCACTGCTGATCACATTTGCACACAGGGAGCATCCCTCACACCAGCCATCCCCCCAGCTCACCCTTCCTTCCTTGCCACAACACCAGGGAGTCACAATCTGCTGGCTGCAGTTCCTTGTTCCATCCCCAAGTCCCAGCATCCACAGAACTCCGGCCCATGCCCTCATTTCCCTCCTGGTCTCAGGGTGCTCCAAGGGAAGCGTGATTACAAAGAACAAATGGCACTGTTCTCTCTGGAAGATGAACATCTCTCTCCCCAGAGACTAGCAGCAATCTCAAGCCTCAAAAAATAAAATACATTCCAAAGAATTGAAAGGAGAGAGTTCAAGTGCATTACCCCAGCAGAGCTATTACACCCTTGATGCCGTGTGGGCTCTCGTGTGTGTGTGTGCGTGTGTTGTGTGTGTGTTTGTGTGGAAAGCCCTGAATGTTCCCTGCAATCTCTTGTTTAAGGTCCCCAGACAATTCAAGCGTTTTTAATTCCACCCCAGGAAGGTGAAGTTTCCTGCCGCTCCAGCATTAAGCATCTAATGACTCTCCCTCTCCAGCACTGGCTTTCAGACTGAAATAAAACTTTCTTCCCAGGGCAGGGAAAGGGGAGAGAACAAAAGGCAAGGAAGAGAAAAGCAGCCTAAGTGAAGGCAAGGAGGGTGGGAGGAAATGGGGGAGAGGGAAGGACCTCCCACAGCCAACAGTGAAATGCACTTTCAGTTTTGGGCATGCCATGCCAAAAACCCTCCTTACCCTATCTGGAGGAAAGGCAGGAGCATTTGGCTGTGATATCATTCCTCACCAGCCTTTGTTTGCAAATTTGGGATGTCAAAAAATGAGAAGATGCCATTTGCAGTCCAAGTTAGTGAGGAGGTTGCCTGTTTTCCTTTGGTTTGGTCCCTGGTCCTCCCAGGCCCTGAACCTCTGCCCCCACAGGCTATAACCCCATGTCAGCCAGCACCTTGGCAGCACTTTTCCCAGCCAGACCCCGTCCATACAGAATCCTGGAATGATTTGGATCAGAAGGGACCTTAAAGACCATCTCATTGCTTGCCATGGACAGGGACACCTTTCACTAGACCAGGGTGCTCCAAGTTCCATCCAACCTGGCCTTGAACACTCCCAGAGATGGGGCAGCCACAGCTTCACCTGTGCCAGTGACTCACCACCTTTATAGCAAAGACTTTCTTCCTAATATCTGACCTAATCCTGCCCTTTGTCAGTTTGAAGTCATTCCCCCTTGTCCTGTCACTCCACACTCTAGTCCAAAATCCCTTCTCCAAATCTCTTGGAGCCCCTTTAGGCACTGGAAGGGGCTCTAAGGTCTCCCCAGAGCCTTTCCCACTCCAGGCTGAACAACCCCAGCTCTCTCAGCTTGCCTGCAACTGGGAGCACTTGGTAAGCTTCCCCTGCTTTACACCAGCTGGGAATCAGGCCGCTCTGCCACCTCCTGCTTTGCCATCCCTGTCTTCCAGCCCCTCCTCTGCTGAGGCTGGTGTCTCCTTTTGCTGAAGAAGGGAATGGAAGCACCTTTTCCAGAGCCCACCTCATCCTGCCTTTTCCCCCTACCCAACCATTTGCCCACAGAGCACTAATTTGCAGGAAGCTGGTGCCACACGCATTCAGGGACAAGGTCCGTGCAGCTGCGGCAGCGTCTCCGAGGGAGTCGCTTCCCACACACTTGATCCCTAATGGAGCTTAATTGCTTTTGTCCATTAGAAGGACAAAGGGGTGGCAGAAAGGGGAGGGGGGGGGGAGAAAAAAAAGAAAGTTAATCTCAACTTAATGAATTATTACATTTCAGAGAGACACGTTACCAAGCAGGGCAGCAGCGGGGGCTGGTGACATCTGAGAGTGGGTAGGCGATGCTGACAGATCAAGGATTGCTCAGAACCAATTTGCAGCAGCGGATAGAGATAATACTGTGTGTGAGTGAGAACAGGGCCAGCAATGGTGACTGACAGCTGCTTAGGAAGGCTTCAAGTCACAGGCAGGGCAGCATCCCATCACCAAGAGAGCAGGCTCCTGCCTCCCACTGAAGGGCTCTGCTCCCGGTGTGTTTGGGTTACGCTGCCAGGGATGGCCCAGTTTTGCCTTGCAAAGAGCTCAGGGCTTGCTGCCCCATGGGGTCCCTGCAAGGGGGTTCGAGGGACCCCAGCAGATTGCACAGTCTCCACCAGCAACACCTCTGCTTGTCCACCTGGGTCTCCAGGCCTCAAATCCTGATGAACTCCAGCATGAAAACATCCACCCACGATGTGCCGACCCTGTGCCATTGCAGCCCTTCTCTACCTGGCCTCATGAAGCTGAAGGTGCTCAGAGAGCTTTAGAGGTGAGGGCTGAGGGTCATGGTGGGATCTGGGGAGCAGTGTGTGCCATCTGCTCTGCACACAAGGGCACCATCCATCCACACACCGTGCCCAGCCTGCCAGGATGATCGGAGCACAGATGGTTTGCTCCCCCTCTGCCTGCAAATTCTCCTCTATAGCCTTGGCATTCCCCTCATGCAGCCTGGGAGCATCTCTGCTCCTGGTAGGAGACCTTAGGGGACACTACCATGCTCAGCCACCTTCCCTTCCATGTCCCCACATCCTTCCCCACACCAGGGCAGTGATGATGTTACTACAACGTTGTGTTCTGCTCTAACTGGAAAGCTCAAGTCTGGTTTTAATGGGAGAACCACATATGTGGAAGCATCTAGCTTGAAAAAAAAAAGAAAAAAAGAAAACAAACAAACAAACAAAAACCAAATAACAACAACAAAAAACCAAAACACAAGAAAACAGAAAAAAACAACCACAAGAAAACCAACCAAAAACCAGTTAAGAATAAAGAATATCACAGATACTGCAATCCACTTTTCTACTTTTCAAACCATCTTTGAGTCCAGAGCAGGTATACAGTGCTGGTCACCTCAGTACTGTGGGCTCCATGCTTCAAAACAAGTACCCAGCTATCTTCAAAGCCATCAACTCACCACCTCTTGCAACCATTAAAGTTCCCTCCAGCAAACCAGTTAACAAACAGGTCTTAAAATCATGTAAGGCAGCGGAAAGGATGGGGTGGGAAGCAGAGAAATACTGGATTATGCACTGAGGTGAGACAGCAGTACTATGCTGCTATGAAAAAAAAAAAAAAAACAATATAATGGGATGCATACCAAGGAAGACCATCTGTAAGACATCAGGTAATACTGCTGCTCTCCTCAGGTCTCGTCTCATGGCTCCACTTCAGGTTTGAGCACCACAGTCTGAGGGAAAATTGCCTTCAAGTCTCCAGGAGGGTGTCAGAGAAGGTTATGGGACAGAACTGACAACAGACAGTGTGGAAAACACAGCTGAGACAGTTGCAAACCAGAGGGATCAGATGGTATTTACCCAAGAGGTGTAAAGGAACTGAAGTAAGAGTGTTGAACTGACTGCACAGTCTGTAACCTGGAGCTTCAACTCAAACAGACAGTGACAAGCAGCACGGCAAAACTGGGACTGCAGACCAGGCTTATCGCACTGAACCGACAGCAAGGGCAGCAGCAGGGTACCCAAAAGGTGCAAAAACCTCTGCAGAGGGAAGATGTGCTTCGGAGGCCTGCTTTGTAGGAGGCAACAGGTTTCTTGGCTACAGGAAATTGCTTGATTTAAGTTCATTTGAACTACTCAAAGTCAGAGAACATTCAAGGCCAGGCTGGATGGGGCTCTGAGCAACCTGATCGAGTTGAAGACATCATTACTCACTGCAGGGGCATTGGAACAGATAGCTTTTAAAGGTCCCTTCCAACCCAAACTGTGCTATGATTCCTTAACAAAGCTGGGTTGTCTCAGCAAAATCTTCTACAAAGCACCAACTGGCGAAAAGAAAGAAAACACAAAAAGGAAGGAAGGAAAACAAATATCCTATTCCTTGCATTCCCTTCCACTGGTGGCCATTAGCTTTGACCATCCCTGTGCTTCCCCACAGTGTGACAGAGCTGCAGCGAGAGGCAGAGCGTGCAGCTGACAGCGCTGAAGAGAGCACATTTATAGAGCGCTGGC